TTCCACATCTTTTTTATCCATTCACTCATTGATGGACACTAGGTTATTTCCATATCTTGGCTGTTGTAAATAATACTGTGATGAACATAGGGGTGCATATATCTTTTCGATTTGACGTTTTTTCTTCAGATGAATATCCAAAAGCAGAATTGCTGGATCATATGTTATTTCTATTTTTAATTTTTTGAGGAACCTCCATACTGTTTTCCATAGCAGCTGCACCAATTTATATTCCAACAAACAGTGCACACAGGTTCCATTTTCTCCACATCCTCACCAACATTTGTTATTTTTTGCCTTTCTGTTAACAACCTTTCTAACACATATGCAGTGATAGCCCATTGTGGTTTTGACTGGCATTTTCCTGATAACTAGTGACATTGAGTATCTTTGCATGTGCCTGTTGACCATCAGTATGTCTTTTTTGGAAAAATGTCTCTTCAGTTCCTCTACCCATTTTTTAATCAGATTATTGTTTTTTACTATTGAGTTATAGGAGTTCTTTATATTTTTTGGATATTTACCTCTTATCGGGTATATGATTTGCAGCTCTTTTCTCCCATTCAGTAGGTTGCCTTTTCATTTTGTTTGCTATGCAAAAGCTTTTTAGGTTAATCTATATCCCACTTGTTTGTTTTTGCTTTTGTTGCCTTTGCTTTTAAAGTTAGATCCAAAAATCAGGGGCACCTGTGTGGCTCAGTTGGTTAAGTGTTTGACTTCGGCTCAGGTCATGATCTTGGGGTAATGGGATCGAGCCCTGGCTCAGGCTCCTTGCTCAGCAGGAGTCTGCTTCTCCCTCTCCCTCTGACCCTTGCCCCACTCGTGGGTTCTCTCTCTCTCAAATAAATAAATAAATAATCTTTTTTAAAAAATAAAGTTAGATCTAAAAATTCAATGCAAAGACTGATATCAAGGAACTTTACCACCTATTTTCTTCTAGTTTTATATTTCCAGGTTTTACTTTTAAGTCTCTAATCTGTTTTGAGTTAATTTTTGTGTATGGTAGAAGATAGTGTAGTTTTATTCTTTTGAATGTGGCTGTCCAGTTTTCCTCTACACCACTTATTGAAAGAGACTGTCTTTTCCCCATTGTATATTTTCACCTCCTTTTTCATAAATCAGTGGACTGTATATGCATGGGTTTTATTTCTGAGCTCTATTCTGTTTTAGTGATCTCTGTGCCTGTTTTTATGCTAATGCCACACTGTTTTGATTACTATAGCTTTGTAATATAGCTTGAAATCAGAGTCCAGCTTTGTTCTTTCTCAAGATTGCTTTTATGGTTCCATACAAGTTTTAGAATTGTTTATTCTGTTTCTGTGAAAAATACCATTGGAATTTTGATAGAGATTGCATTGAATCTGTAGATTGTTTTGTGGTGGTATGGACATTTTATTATTGTTATTTTTTTTTTTTTAAGATTTTATTTATTTATTTAACAGAGAGATAGCGAGAGCAGGAACACAAGCAGGGGGAGTGGGAGAGGGAGAAGCAGGCTTCCTGCCAAGCAGGGAGCCCGATGCGGAACTCGATCCCAGGGTCCTGGGATCATGACCTGAGCCGAAGGCAGACGCTTAATGACTGAGCCACCCAGGCGCCTGGTATGGACATTTTAATATTAATTCTTTCAATCCATGAATATGGTATATCCATTTATTTGTTTATTTTTCAGTTTCTTTCATCAGTGTCTTACAGTTTTCAGTGTATAGGTCTTTCATCTCCTTGTTTAAATTTATTCCTGGGTATTTTATTCTTTTTGATGCAGTTGTAAAGTGAGTTTTTAAAATTTCTCTTTCTGATAGTTGTTGCTAATGTGTAGAAACAGAACAGATTTTATATATTGATTTTGTATCTTGCAACTTTACTGAATCCATTTATGTTATAGCTGTTTTGGTGCAGTCTTTAGGGTTTTCTGTGTTTAAAATCATGTCATCCACAAAAAGTGATAGTTTTACTTTTTTCCTTTCCAATTTGGATGCATTTTCTTTTTCTTGTCTAATTGTTCTGGCTAAGATTTCCAATACTATGTTGAATAAAAGTGGTGAGAGTAGGCATCCTTGATTCGTTCCTGATCTCAGAGGAAAAGCTTTGAGCTTTTCAGCATTCAGTATGATGTTAGCTGTGGGGTGAATCTTTGTTAATATCCAGCACTACTCCCTTATTTTACAAGATAGATAAATTAATTGCAAGTGGGTTTTTTTTTTTTATTTGTAATGCTTCAGAAATGTGGAGTCTTTCATTTGTGTAGATGTCTCTTTTTTAAGTACTGACTTCATATTATATCCTTGATTGAAAACCTGTGAGAGCAATAGTATTTTCTGAGGCTGCTTGCCAGATTATATTTATGTAAAATACGAACATTGAGTAACTTAAGATGAACTAGGCCTGTGACCTCATTTTTAGAATTTAAGTTGCTAAAGTACAGACACAATCACCTATTTTGTATTAATTTCAAGGCTTCTTTGCATTCACCAAGATTTGCTTTACACCTACTCTTGACTTATTTTTACCCTATATATTGCCCTTGTATTCTCCCCTTAATTTGTTTTAACCTGTTTGATGTAAAAAAAAAAAATCTGTGTGAAACAGTAAATTTGACATAGTTTCTTCATAGTTTCTCCTTAAGTAGTGCTTTCTGTAGGCTATCTCATGAGATGTGTATCTGTTAGGATTAGGTTTGGCAGCATATAACAAAAATCCAACATGTTCAGGCCTGATAGGGAAATTGATTTTTCTCTCACGTTCATCAAGTCTGGAATTAGGAAGTGCAGAGATAATGAGTTTCACTGTATCGGGGATTCAGGCATCTTCTGTCTTCCTGTTCTACTATCATTATCACATACTCTCATGATCCCAAATGGCTACTTGAGCTCTAACTCTTATATCCAAACTCCAGGCAATAAAAGTGAAGAAGGGTGGAAAGGCAAAGGGGTTTTTGCTGGCTGAGTTTGGTCGCTCTAAGCAGTCTTTTCTTCCCCAAAGACACAAAACCATTTATTTCATTTTACATTTCATTAACCATGACAGGGCCATGTGGCCTCTTGGCTATATCTGTTACCAGGGGGCCTTGAAAGTACGTAGAGTATTTGATTTCTCCCACAGTGTACCCAGCTGGATTCTTTTGGGTTCTGTATATTGTGAAGGAAGGATAGAATGGATGTTGAGGTAAGCAACTAAGAGCTTCTTTACTTCACAGTTATTGCACAGTTTTTATAGGAACATAGGAAACCCGGTGAGGTCTAGGTGGCTCAATATCTGGTTTATAATATAATCATGGGAAATGATACTAAGGTATCTCTCTGATTTAAACTTATTTGATCTATATTAACTGTCATTTTTGTGTTATTGTTACCAGATACATGTGCTAGGTACTTTTTATACCTTCTCTATAATCCCTACACTTTCTGGTAGGGCACTGTCTTTCATGCCACAAATGAGAAGACTGAGGCCCAGATAGATTGCATAACCTGTCAGGTTCTCGTAACTGGTTAAGTGGTGAGTCAGATATTGATCCCACTGTTTAAGATCAGTATTGATAACTGCCTCTGTCCTCTTTATTAATCTGTCTACATATATAGCTATCCACTGCTACCCCTGCTCCACTCCTTGTACATAAAAATTGTTTGAGGTTGCTCAGATATACACAAAAAACGACAAAACAAGAAGATAAACAGATTGAAGGGAATGTAAATGTGAGAAAACCTGATGAAGCTAAGATACATGTGGTACACAGAGCTGAATGCTCCATCATCCCAGACTGGTGCTAGAAGGCTTGGTCTGACTTGTGTTCTATCAAATACTGAAAGACAGGAAAACAAGCTTGAATTTTCTTTATTGGGACTCTTGGCATCTTCATTGTTTTAATCATATAATAATTTGAATCCTTATAAGGAATACTAGTTTTTCATTTTGCAGCTTCAAGGAATCTTTAAAGGTCATTATAATAGTAATATTAGTGTTTTCTGGTTTTCTCTTTGTGGGTTAGGTAAGCTGAATTCCTGTTACTTGTTTTTTAAGAAGTGGAAACCTAGGGATACCTGGGTGGCTCAGTCAGTTGAGTTTTGGACTCTTGGTTTTGGCTCAGGTCATGATCTCAGGATTGTGAGATCAAGCCCCACATGGGCCGTGCTGAACACAGAGTCTGCTTGAGACTCTTTCTCTCTCTCTCTCTGCTCCTCCCCCGCTCTCAAATAAATAAATAAATAGAAACCTAGTCAAAGAGAATTTTTTAGCTGGATACGGGTCATATGCTTAGTAAAAACTAGGGCTCATTTTTGTTTGTTTATAGAAATGCTCATATCATAGTTTTGAAAGGTATATTCTGGAAGACTGTGATCTTGACAAAAATGGTGGTGTGCTTTTTACAGAGCTCCTTGAAGACAAAAGATTTGTCTTACTCATTTTTTTCTCTGGTGTCTTCAGTATATGGAAGATATTTGATAAATGAAGAATGAATGAATGACTAGTAAATGAGAAAAATCTGTTAACTAATATAATTAATATTTATCCTTCTTTAAACAAGTAAGCCAGTTACCTAAAATAGAGGAAAAATAGGTCATCTTTTTTTTTTTTTTTTTTTTTAGCCCTGGCAAGTTGTATGAGGTGGGTTATAGTAATGATTGGACATTGGGACCACGAAGTCCAGCCCTTGAACTTGGTATATTTGGAGAATTGCTATAACTGTGATACACCTGAAACATAGTGGTTGTTAAGGCAAGTAGCAGGAGATGAGTCTGGTAGGCTCCTGGCATGTGAAAGTTCCTTATTAATTGTAAGGAATACAAGTTAGGCCCGGATTTTGAAAGCATATTTTATATGATATGTTTATTATCTTTTTGAAAATGACTTTTTTAATGGGCAACAGAAGGGACATGATTTGGTTTGAATAACATTTAAAAAATAAATAATGTAATTCATTTCTTATATTTTAATTTTTAGGACTATTTGTGAAAAATAAATTAACAGAATATTTAATTACTTTATTTTGTTTTATTTCTCAGGATGTGATCTTCGTGGTGGGAAGCTAAGTTTTTAAACTACCCCAATGGATGCAGACAGTGATGTTGCATTGGACATTCTAATTACAAATGTAGTCTGTGTTTTTAGAACAAGATGCCATTTGAACTTAAGGAAGATTGCTTTGGAGGGAGCAAATGTAATTTATAAGCGTGATGTTGGAGTAAGTATCTTAATTTTGGTATGTGTGCTATACAGACTAATTTTATAGTGCTGTGAATCATATTCTAAAACATATTCTCTATACAGATAGTTTATGAGTACCTTACCACGTGCGAGTTGTACTCACTACAACATTGAGCCTTGTAGAAGTGGCCCCTCCTCCTGTGAAGTGTCAGCTTTTGGATGTTCCCTGTCTCCAGGTCTTAGCAAAGAATTCACAGGCTACTAGAATTGTATTGTCCTCTCAATTTCTTTTAAATGAAGAAGGGGGCATTTATATGTGGCATATACTATTCAAATATAATTTTTTAGGGGCTCCTGGGTGGCACAGTCGGTTAAATGTCAGACTCTTGGTTTTGGCTCAGGTTCTGGGCTCAGGTCGTGAGATCGAGCCCTGTGTCAGGCTATGCTCTCCCTCTAGCCCTCCGTCCACTCTCTCACTTTCTCTTTTTTAAATAAATCTTTAAAAATATATAGTTACATGAATGATGTATGATACGAATGATGCCCTAATATATATGTTGTGATTTTTGTAGTATATTTTAATACCCCTCTTTATTTAGCCAAAATAGTTGGTATTCTTTAGTAACAAATTGCTGAAAATAATATGGCTCATATCCTAACCCAGACACTATAAATTTTAGTTTTTGTTAGACCTATAATATTTAAAATAAAAACATTGATAACTTGCTTTTAACCTTAATGAGATTAACATTACAAGTGACAATGTGTGTTCACTGGCTTTTATAAACCAAATGGTATTGAAATATATATCTTATACATTTATCATGAAAATTATGAATGTATATGAAAGCTCTAGCTCTAAAAATTAGGTGCCAGTATATCTCAGTAAATTATCATTAGCTCTTAGTACTAGAAACTAAGTTAAGATGAATTAAATTCAATTAAAAATTGCAGTGACCCACAATTAAAGATTTTCAAGTTCATCAGTAATGCCATCGTCACCTAAATAAAGGCAAAAGATATCTGCTAAGACGGTTAGAGAGTAAAATGCCTAATACCGCTTTGGAACTTAGCATGCCATGTGACAGGGAAGTCATTTTTCATAGAAGGTTAATTGAAGAAGCTGAATTGATGGATAAGGTGGTGGTGAAAGACAATTAAATGCAGAATAAACTCAGTGTTTCTCAACCCCTTGTGTATGAAATTTTATAATATCTTTTGGTTCAAGTTTAATTTGGCTCTTTGTTAAATTTTATCCTTCCAGACTTAATAGCGAAAGTTTGATAATATGACATATGACAGAGAAAGCGTGAAACTCCAAAAGTAACAGAAGTTTTAAGGAGAAATGTCCGATTCATTTATATGTTACAATATTCAGTAAACATTTATCTCTTATACATAATGGGCATATAATATTTTCCATAAATGAAAAATTGCAATGAAAATTTAAATTCACATTGTTCTCTTGGACCTCAGTCCTTGACTGATTTATGCTCACTGTGTAGATAATTTCATTCAAACCCACAACCTTAAATGCCTTTCATATCTAAGGAATCTAAAATTACATCTCCAGGTCCAACATTTGTCCTGCACTCAAGATTTATATATTGAACTTGAATATGTAGTAGGCATCTCAATTGTAAGATACAATATAATGATGAGTACCATGAAGCAGAATAAAGCAGGGTAGGAGGTGGGGAGCAATGCGGAGATGGGTGCTTTGGTGGAGTGGTCAGGGAAGGCCTCTCTCTCTGACATCTGGTGAGAGAATGAAAGTGAGAATATTGAGGGAAGAATATTCCAGATGAAATAGTAACAATTACTGCAAAACTCCTGAGGTTTTAATAAGTTTGGCATCTTTAAGGATCCATGCAAATTGCAAATTCCAGTTACATGACTAGGGTGGAATGAGAGTTGAAAAGTTTGCATGCTTATAGCACATTGATTTCAAGTATATAGTAAGATGTTTATACAGACCTTGTATTTATAATTAATTAAATGTCTTTTTGAATTAATATGTTCTTTGTGTTCAGTATGGTACTTGATGTCAGAATGGATGATTTGGAGAACAGTTACTTATTTCAGTCTTGGGTAAGCGTCAAGTAGTAGTTACACTTTTATTAAAATGGCCACATGGAGCAGAATCATAAGTGAAAATTAACACTTAATATATAACCACGTTTTTGTTTTATTTTGTTCTTTTGCAGAAAGTATTAATGAAGCTTAGAAAACCTAGAATTACAGCTACAATTTGGTCCTCAGGAAAAATTATTTGCACTGGAGCAACAAGGTAAATTTTACTTGAAATTTTTACTTGAATTTTTAAATTTTTCCTTCGTGGAAAGGACATTTTCCTAGACTTAAAACAAAATCATGTGTACAGTTTGTCATGTTTGTCAGTATAAAATTCATTTCCTGTGTAACTGATCATCTTTTCTTTCCTTAAAACCATAGTGAAGAAGAAGCTAAATTTGGTGCCAGACGTTTAGCCCGCAGTCTGCAGAAACTAGGTTTTCAGGTAACATTTTCAAAAAACATCCAAACTACAAATATTATGGGATTTAATTTATAAAGTTAAACTTTTTAATTTGATAGACTAAAGAAATCACACAGAGGGGTGCCTGGGTGGCTCAGTCAGTTAAATGTCTGACTTCAGCTCAGGTCATGATCTCAGGGTCCTGGGATTGAGCCCTGCCTCGGGGCTCCCTGCTCAAGGGGGGCCTGCTTCTCCGTCTCCCTCTGCCACTCCCCCTGCTTGTGCACGGTCTCGCTCTCCTTCTCTCTCTCTCTCTCTCTCAAATAAATAAAATCTTTAAGGGAAAAAAAGAAATCACACAGATACTCTTCTCATGATTGGCCTTTTTCTTATTGTCCTTCAGTACAAAAATTTAGTAGCGAACTCTTACTCATGTGAGTACTTGTAAAGGATCTTGGCATTTTCACTAACCCCTTGCTCACTGAGAGATTTGTTGCCTTACAAGTGAACTGCCTTTTCAACTCTTTTAGGCTGTTCACTTCTCACCAAAAAAATCTTGTTTTTGATCATCTCAAGAGTGGTATGTCGGGATGATGAGTAGAGAGTAGGGCCATATGTTTAAAAAGTTAAAGTGTATTTGTTTTTATTTATAGATAGCTATCACATAAATTATAAAGAAGAAAAAAGAACTAGAATGGAACTTCCACAGATCTATGCATTTAATGGCTAAGAGTAAACAGTGTTCCTACATATTACTGTTAGCGAGAACATTACTATTATAACAGGGAATTGTGATTATTTAAAATACGCCGAACTTATGTAATCTGTGCTTTAGCAATAACTACACTGTGTTGTAAGTTGAAAAGAATTCACATGACTAATACCAACTATACACCAGTGTATAAGGACTGAGAAAAGGCTGCATTCTGTAAAATCAATCAGATGTGTTAAAAATGACATAAATCCAAAACAAAATGCATGTTGTATAAAAAGGGACATTTGTAAGATTGGCTTGCTGTGTCAAATCCGTGGTTTGGTCCACAAAAAGTACACACTGGTTGGCGGGCTCTCACATGGAAAGTGACTGTCACTGGCAGGTTTCATCAAATATAATTTTATGGAGGCATAAATTTGAGTAAAATTAGTACATATTATGGATTTGTTACATCACTTGCAAATGATGAGTAAATGAAAGGAAGATAAAGATGAGCTGTGGTCCCCAAAGAGGTGGGTCCAGGCTGTATGGAATTTGAATGAGCAGTGGTGGGAAGTTGAGTTTCTTTCTGACCTCTTCAGTCTTCCCTGAGGTGGAAGGTGCTAGAAAGGCACGGAAGTGCTGATGGGTAGGGGAGGGTTGGTGCTTGAGGAAAGTGGCAATATTGAGAGTCTTGACTGATGGTGGTGCCACTTTGGACAGTTCTGTGACTTTCATCAACTGCCTTGTGCAAGTACTCAGCTGGAGAACAGTTAATCCAGAATTGTGGTTTTACTGGGAACATTTCGAAGCATAATAAGATACAGCCATTCAAGTTATTGGTAGGAGTTGCTGAAGTTACTTTTCAGCCTGCTTCTTGTCTTAGCATAACATTGGGAGTGTTGAGAAAAATCCCATTTAAAAACACAATTTTCTCAGCTTACCCCCGCAAAAAGAAAACTGATGAGCAGTTGTCTTTTTTTTTTTTTTCTGATGAGTAATTTTTTTGTTTCAAAACAATTCATTGAGTTGTACTTCTTTCCTACAGGTAATATTTACAGATTTTAAGGTCGTTAACGTTTTGGCAGTGTGTAACATGCCATTTGAAATCCGTTTGCCAGAATTCACAAAGAACAATAGACCTCATGCCAGGTAGGTCTTTGAAGAATCAAGACAACTTACCAAATTTGTAATTACTTGTCAACCTGTAAATATTTATATTAATTGTGATTTTTTTTTTTTTTTTGGTATAGTTACGAACCTGAACTTCATCCTGCTGTGTGCTATCGGATAAAATCTCTAAGAGCTACATTACAGATTTTTTCAACAGGAAGTATCACAGTAACAGGTATTTTATGATATTGAAACCAAGCTTATGGTCAATTATGGTTTGAATGAGGTGCCTATATCGAACTGGAAATAATGTCTCATTTGTCCCCGTTAGTCACTTCTACTCCTCGAGGGGAAACAGTATCCTGACTTTTAACACTGTAGTTTAGTTTTCTCTACTTTTATATACTATTTTAAAATCTTACATATGCTATTTTGTATCTGTCTTCTTTCACTCATTATTATCTTAGTGTGAGATTCATCCATATTATTCCATGTAGTAATAGATCAGTCATTCTTATTGCTGTATAGTACCCAGGATGTGAATTATACTGTCCATAAGCATTTGGATAGTTTCCAGTTTGGACCTGTTAAGAATATCCTAGTATATATTTTCATAGTATGATATTTCTTTAATTTATGATGTCTTGCATTTAAAATATTCAAAGAGAAACCCATTTTGTAAACATCATGGAGAAGAGGTTTTATATAAGTAAAATAGGCAAATATCATTGGTACCTCTCTGCCATGTCTTATGTGTATTTTGTTCTGTATCTTTTGAGTCTTAAGTATTTAGAAGGGGTGGATTCAAGCAACCAGGCATTGAGAACTTTAGTGCTCAGGATGGCTTTAAAGGGACTGTATTTATAAATGGTACAGAAATACCACTTGGGCGTCAGGCCCAACCTTCAGCTAAACTGAGTTCAGGAGAATTTCTTTCGTGTTCTTGAATTTTTCTTTGTATTCCGTAGTCCTTAGAGGAAAATACACATTATTGACACCTTTAGACTCACAACAAGTAAACTTATCGTCCAACTTTGACTCATCCTGTGGGTTTTCACATCTTCCTTGGAGACTTTTAAAGCCTACTGCCCGCGTCATGCCTGACTCTTAAAGTGGAGGGATGGGGCACAGTCCCATTTGTTCCCTTCTTTCAGCTATCTCTTTCTACATTTTGGAGCCCAGACTTCTGAGAAGCCCCAAAGTCTATTGATCGATAGGTCCCTACTAAGTATAGAGTTTACGATGCTTAGGTAAAATCTGTATTTACTGAGTTAATAGATAATTAAACAACATAATAACAAGCTGAGGATAATTGGGTTAATTAGTATGCATTATATATTTACATCTGGAACATCCTATGAAATGTTAACAATTCAGTGAACAGATACTGAGTGGTTCCCATAGGCAAAGCACTGTCCTGTGTGGGGGAGGGGAGGGTAATCAGGAAGGAGCAGACCCAGATAACATGTGGTCAGTACCCTCAGAGAGTTCACAGTGGGTACAATATGTACGTTTTCAGCATCTTTCAAAAGAATTAAGAATTTTGAATTTTGTTCAAAATAAGTTTTATGAAAATATTTTCATTGTCTCTTTTTATGTTTCTTTTTAGCTATTTAAATGGAGATTACATTTTTAAAAAGTTATTCCAAACATTATGTGGATTAATTCACATATACTGTCACCCCCTTCCCGCATGTGTGTTTCCCTATTTACTGAGTAAGCTGTGAGGATGAATGGCCAGATTAATATTAAACATGTGGCAGGTAGTGAGTACTAGTAAATCTGTGAGGGGTTTTTAGACCACTTAGTTAATAACCGCACTCTGGTTTCCCAGTACTTTGGAAGCAGCTTTGTTTTACTTTACTGGACTCCTTAGTACTCCTGTGAGCATCAGCGGTAGCCTAACCAAAAGCCAGGCTACAGTGACCAAAAGGATAGTGACCAAAGTGTCTAGTCCCGTTTATCACTTCTTCCTTTAATCAGCATCCAACAGCGCTGTTAGACGTGCTTTTTATATATACTGTCTTCACGCTGCCCTAAACCAAGGTGAATAATAGCATTTTGTGTTTCACATTTCCTTGAATTGTTCAGAAAAGATTTCACTCTCTTGGTTTTATTATGACTGTATAATTATGTAAAGTGTAGATCTTTCTTTTAAACAATTAATCCGATAGTCTAAACCATGTGAATGTTTTCAGTGCCGGGAAATGCACGTTCCTAGCGCTCGCTCGTCTCACGAGGCCTTTCTCCGTTGTGCTTGTTACAGGGCCCAACGTAAAGGCTGTTGCTACCGCTGTGGAGCAGATTTACCCGTTTGTGTTTGAAAGCAGGAAAGAAATTTTATAATTCATCACGTAATTGGTTAGAATCCCTAACTGAGCACCTTTTAAAACCTGCTGCACATTGGACTCAAAACAAAAGGAAAACTGGACCAACAGTAATTGAGGAAATAGACTCTTTTATTCATTCACGGCTACAGTGTAAGCTCCAGGCCCTTTGGATTTTATTTCAAACCTTGCTGTAATATAAAAAGGAAGTTTACAAGACATGACATTGCTGCTTTTACAAAAGGACATTCTATTTATTTTCGCAGTAATTCTCATGTCCCCGTAAGCAGAGCTGTCACAGTGTGCACTACCTTAAATTGTTTCGTTATTGTCATTATTTCTTCCCAGTTTGAGCTAATGTGTTTTATTTGTGAATAGTCTTTTACATTTTTGTATGCTGAATATGGGCACCAAAGAACCTGTAAAAGTTATCTTTTTCAATTGAATGTGCACAAATAAAAGTTTGGAAAAGATCTCTCTTCATATCCATTCTGTAACTTTTATTCCCCATTTTCTATTTTAACAAAAATTGTATTCATAATTCTTTTTTCTTTTTAATCTATGCAAGCTTAGACTTTTGCTAAAGTATGTTGGCTTCTTTTTGAAGTGTATTTTGTAAATATATATATGCCACATGTGTATAGTATCTTTTACTGCTCTGTTACCAAATATCAAATAGGAATTTTTTCTTGCAGATTAGAAGTAAAAGTATGTATATAAACTCTAGGGAGCGAACCGGAGTAGAACTTTATAGATTAAGCATAATGTTTTATGTTGCTAATTTAATATGATAGAAAATGTTAAATATCTTTTCCAAGTTACGAAAGTGTAGTTTTAAAAAGCGAAACCTCTCACCTACAAGATGGGTATGAGAAAGAAGCTGTGATGGGTTGTACCTCATGTGCTTTTGTTACTCTGGTAAGACTCCCCTCTAGTTGTAGGAGAGTAGTAATCTTAGGTCGCTGCTGAAGGCTATACTGAGAGTCTTGTCAGAAGTTGATACATTGTGCTGTTTTAACAAGAAGTGCCCACAAGCTGCCTCTGTGCCACAGTATAATTATAATGTAGTTCAACTTGAACTTGAAAGCCATTTTGCAAGATACATCTTTCCCCTTGCTGTGTCTTATTTAATGGAGCTGAAGAGTGACTGTTCAGTATTAGGGATTGCTCCTCTTAAAGTTACAATAGATACGCATTTGTGAAACATTGGCCCTTCCGGCTCACCCAAGAGCCCTGGGGGTAGTACACGATCGGGCTGCACCTGTGTGCTACCACTTGGGATTAGGAGTTTAGTAGAACCAACAGTAATTTCATTTAGAAATAAAGCTGAGTGGTGAGTCCAATTAGCCTCTTAGCAGTAACTTAATAGAGACAATATTCCAACACGAAAACCTGAATTTTCAAAACGTTTTGAAAGTTTCATGAAAAATTGCAACGTCTTGTCCTCCGTGTTCTAGTTCATTTTCCTGATCATATTATAAAGTCTTCCAAACCTAGCTTACATACTGCACTGAACAACATACATAATTTTATATTTATTTTTATCTTCTTTTCTCTCGATGCCTTCCCCTACTGTGCCTCTCACTCTTAAATCGGGGGGCAAAGGCTGGCTTTTATATTTTCTTTCTTGTGAAAGACTTAATTGTTATTTTCAGACTTCTCTTATTCTCTCTCTCTTTTTTTTTTTTTCTTTTACATTGTGTTTATTTGCTTCATTTTAAGATCCAGCAGTATAGGGTAAACCTCATAAAATATAGAGGATACAATTCGGTGAAGAAGTCACAGGTTCTGGGAGACTATTTTTAAAAATTGAGATTTTCCACTTAGCTTTAATCAACAGTAATAAGTGACCTGTTTTGTAAATGTTCACCCAAAAAAAAAAAAAAAAAGAAATACAGAAAAGGCGGAAAACATGATTATATGGCCAAGGTGCAGATCCAGATGTTGTATTTTCAGTATTCAAGTGACTTGAAAAGTAGGTAGATCAGTAGCTCATCAAAATGCTTTCTCAGAAAAGAGGAAGAAAGACAATCTAACCAGGTCAGGTTTCAGGGCTGCTGTGTGAGCGTCACCTGGCAAAGTGTCATGGATAACCCACTAAACTTAACGAAGCTGGTAAGAATGAGCGTGTCTGATGTCTTCTGCTGGCTCTTCACAAGTGCTGTAAATTTTTTTATAAATAAAAACTGTGAATATATACATACAAATGATAAGTATTCCCCCTTTTTTTATTTTTGAAAATCAAAAAGCTCTGGTTAGGGGTGTATTGGGTAAAAATTTGTTTGAAGACAGAATTATTTAGTTACAGACTCAGGATAATAGAAAAATACAAGCGGGTTTAAGATACTGAAGTTGAAATCACTAGTGATAAACCTCCTAAGTTTATGAACAATTTCCTACCCATTTATGATGAATGGCTAAAACAAGAAATTGCTAATGTAGATATACAGTGTTTGAACTTTGAAGGAAACATGTAACAATTTTGTTAAATATCCTACAATCTGTGATGCTTGACAAAGAAAAAAATTCGAATTGATTACCTGTCTTGATTTTTTAAAAATCAGCTCCACATATAATTCCACTGAGGATTCATAATAAATTTCTTAAACTGATCCTCTACAGAACACACTTTTCCTTCTCCTTCCAAAATAAAACAGAAAACATGCTCTAACTTGCATAGGAAATGTGCTGTGGTAGAAGATCTCAAGTCTCCCTTCCTTGTAACTTTCCCCTGCCAATCTTTATGTAATACATTTCAGAATCAGGACTTTCAGCCATTCTCCTGAGTCTCTGCTAATACAGTTTCACTATTACTTACATAGATTTATAGTCTTTCCATTTTGTTATAGGGGAATTCCTAGATCATATACCCTTACACCAAACTGGGACAGTTTGTTAGGGGTCAATAGGAAAATTCCAGTCTAAATAACAGAGGGTTTCGGCTCTTAGGGGTTCTCTTTTCTTTAGGCCAATCGTAATGTTTTATTCTTTTTCAAGTTAGGTTGTTCATGCTTTTAAGTTTTTGTGGTGTCTCCCATAGCTTATAATAGTAATTTAATGGGTCACTACTTAAGTAGATTGAGATTCTTTATTGCAGATTTTCTGTCATCATATCCAAATCGGTAAAATACCTCACCGAGTCCTAATATTCAACTGGAGAAATACAGAAGGGAGCAATTCATTGTTGTGTGGGAAAAACCCAAGTTTCTGGTACAGTTGGTGACCTCCATTTCATCCTAAAGAAGAACATGGTGAGGGAGTTGTCCTGATGCCTGAATGTCACTCACTACATCTGCAGTCATCTGAAAGTCCGCATCAGTGCTAGCCCGCATGCCATAACCTGAGGTAGTGACAGTCCTGAGGAGTGCAAAGAATTGCAGGAAGCTATGGATCACTATTAAGTCATCATGAAAGCCTTCCAAGGAGAGGGTTTTATAAGCTTGACTTAATAACTCACACCTAATTGATTAGAGATTTGGATTAATAACCTAATGGCCTGACTCCTTTTCTAAGGTTTTACTAACAGGTATTACTAAATAAAAATGGTCCCAGCATTTTGAAATTGTCCTTTCTAGTCGTATTTTTTTAAATGGGTGGGAAAATGTTTACTTTTCTCAACCTATTGCAGAATTGTTTCTTTTAATATTTTATACATAAAATTCATAAAAGGGCATTACACTGTAGTTCATAATTCATAAAAGCAGCTGCATAATCTTTGTACCTGTTGAACTACAGTTAGGAATTATCACTGAAATCCTAGCCAGGATCCTCTCCTAATCTAGACCAGAGGTGCAATTACCCACGTTGTGTCCTGGTTCTTTTTTACAGAAGGCCCAGTGCAAGTACTGTTGTAGTGGGCAAAAAACCATAAGCTCGTGTTCAGGCCACTTCAGTGTCTGAGTCATAAAGCTGCCACCGGCCTCTGTACATACATACCTTAAGGCAAAAGTTGATCGCATTACTAGTTCATAGTTTTTCAAAGGTTGCTCTGTGAAAAAAGTGCATAGTACTGAACCAGCCAGTATGTGTTTCACCTGGTATCCTACGCAGAGTAAGAAAGGGATCATGGGATCTTGTACCTCATTTACCTTTCGAGAGGTGGAGGTTAAAGGTGGTCTTTATAATTTCAGGGTGTCTCTAAAACTAGCTCAGCAACACAAAGGAGAAGACATGGGAGTGGCCAATATGTGTTGGTACAAAGACACCCTTCGGATTGTTCTTCTACTTTATCAACATTTCTAAGGTTTGAGGCCATTAGGTCTCTGGAGAAAGCTGCCTTGGTTGTCCCCTACCACACAGCTTTTTACACTCCAAGAGCTGCTCTTGGGGTTTTCTTTTTTGAAGCGGTTTTGGCACTAATTCCTCTTGATGATGACTCATAAAACAAATGTTGTTTTTCACATAGTTCCTGAAAGAGAAAGAGGCACTAATGAAAATGTCACTGTTAGTTTATAGTACTTGGGGAAAAAAAAAAAAAAGTACAGGCTATTATTTTTTTAAATCACCCTGGGGCTTTAATGTCTTAACTAAGCCAAAAAGACATTTTTATTGCAAAGCCTTGATGTATCATGAAATTCCGTGTACCACCAAACTTTGGTCATTCTCACTCAAAGAGTAAGGTGGGGAGGGTGACTTCCCAGAAAAATCAAGGCATTCCTACCTGCAGAGTCCAAGGATAGAACTAATGGAGATAATGGCTCAGATCCTATTTTATTTTTCTCCTCTTCTCAAACTCTACCAATGTGCCTATATTTATGTCTGTGTAGTCTGCCTTCTGCATTATCCGCTTGCTCCTGCATTAATAAATTCTATGGATTATTTCCATCAGCATAAAAATATGCCCTAGGATTTTACGTTTTTTAAAAACAAAGTAAGGCCACCTTTGAACCTCTTTCAAAGATCTTTTCCTGTCACTTAATCAGTTACTTGAGTATAGACTTATGCTTTCAAGGACCTTACCTTTTAATAAAGGAGACAAGTGTATATAAGCATATAATTTCAAGTATTAAAAGTGCTAATGAGAAAAATGGAGAGGAAAGAAGAATGAAAACAGTCGGGTGGGAGGTGGCTATCGTACTGCTGGCACCACTCTAAAGAGGTGACATTTGATCAGAAACTGATAAGGAGGAAACCCTGTGAAGAACTGGAAGCACTGTTTCCAGAAAAGTCAGATCATGGCTAACACATGAACGACGAGATGAGCTTAGATTTGTGTGATTTGAACCACAGGATTTTGAGCCGAGGAATGACATCTTTAAAAGATCAACTGCTGTATCGAGGATAGACTGGAGGGTGCAGGGGCTGGAAGACCAGTGTAGAGGTTCGTCTAGTCCAAGGAAAAGATGGTGGTTGGGACTGAGCATGGCACTAGTTGAAAGGGTCAGGTTCATGGTGTGTTTCGTTAGCAGATTTAACAAGATTTAGTACAGATGTGAGGTGTAGGGATTATCATGGATGAATCCCAAGCGTCTGGCCTGAGGAGCCCCTCCCCACAACCCCCAGGCAGAAGGTTTGCGGAGGAATGTGTGTGCATTTGGGTGAGTGGGACTGAGAATTAAGAGTTCTGTGTAGGTCACGTTAAGCTAGAGATGCCTATTAGACATTCCAACCAAAGATGTTAAGTAAGCAGGTTTGGAAATTTGAAAGTCAGGTAAAAGGCCAAACCCTGGAGCTATACATTTGGGAGTCCTCATTTTATGGCTTATAATGCCTTTGGGATAGATCTTAAGAAGTGAATATAGATACAGATCTAAGGATTGAGTCCTGGGCACTACTGTATTTAAAGGTGTAGAGGAGGGGAAGGAAGAAGCAAAGGAGACCAAAGAGTGACTAATGAGATAGGAGGAAAAGCAGGGAAGTGTGATATTGCAGAAGACAAGTGAAAATAAGTGTTTCCTAATGATCATCTCAAAATGAATATATCTAAAACATCTCTCCATCCCTGAAACCTAGTTCTCTTTCTGGCTGCCCTATCTTACCATCCATGCAATTTCTCAGGCTAAAAATTTAAATGTCATCCTAACTACTTCATTGCCTTACTCATATATCCAATTCATTCATTCATTGAATAACTATCTGAGATCAATAAGCCAGTGAGGCTGATAGAGAAATGGTCTAAGAACTAAACCTTAGGGCACAAAAACTTTAAAATAGTGGGAAGATAAGATGGAACCAGCAGAGGATGCTGAAGGAGTGACTGACAGACAACCAGGAGGTGGGTCCCCGAAGGCAGAGAAACAAGTATTTCAGGAAGGAGGTCATGCTCACCTAAGTCCAATTCTGGGGATGATCACCACGCTAGCCATTAAGATGAGGAATGAGACTGACCACTGGGTTTAGCAATGTAGAGGTCACTGGGATGTTAGAGCAATTTCACTAGGTTTATAGCCATAAAAGTCTCATTGGAGCAGGTTCATGAGAGAATGGAGAAAGAGGAATTGATGACAATGAATATTCCAGAACTTTGCTATAAATGGTAGCAGAGAAACAGCACAAGCTAAAGGGGAAAATGGAATCAAGACCATTTCCTTTTTTTTTAAGACGGGGGGCGGGGGGGGGCGGAATCACACGATTTCCATGCTGGTGAGAAGTCGAGATCCAGTAGAGAGGTAAAATGTGCATGATGCTGGGCTGAGCAGAGAAAACTGTTGGAGAATGTCCTGGAAAAGGGATGGGGAAGAGCATGAAGTGGTTGGCCTCACATAGGAATGGTGGAACTAACAGAACCCAGAAGGATGACGGTGTATTTAGATACAAACACTAATGTGTGGGTTGGTGTGTAAGGCTATGGAAGTTCCCTTCTGATTGTGTCTACTTCCTCGGTGAAGTCAGAGACAAGGTCATCAGTGGGAGTGAACAGGGCTAAGGAGGTGGGGAGGTTTCCAGAGAGAGAAGGTGGAATGGAGCAGTCGTCTAGGAGACAAGCAGTTAATAGGCCTGGGACGTATGTGACTGCCAGGCAGCACTGAAGGCCACTTGAGGTCAACGATCATGATTTTTTTTTTTTTTTTTTTTTTGAGATGAGAGAGAGAGAGCACGCGCGCACAGGCGGGGGGGAGGGGCAGAGGAGGAGGGAGAAGCAGACTCCCTGCTGAGCAGGGAGCCCACTCCATCCCAGGACCCTGGGATCATGACCTGAGCTGAAGGCAGATGCTTAACCGACTGAGCCAGCCAGGCGACCCCAAGGATCACGATTTAAAGTGAGAAAAACCCAACACTGCGCTTAGGTGCCTTCTCAGCCATGTTCAGCTGTGTGACTGCAGGGGCTCACTTGGGACACCTCAAAATGTAAATCAGCTCACGTCACTCCCTGCTAAAACATTTTAGTAGCTTCCCATTGCACTTAGAATGAAATCCAAGGGGCACCTGGGTGGCTCAGTCGGTTAAGATTAAGCATCTACTTTCTGCTCAGGTCATGATCCAGGCTGCCTGCTCAGGAGGTTGTCTGCTCCTCCCTCTGCCCTCCCTTTGCTACACCCCCCCCCCCCACACACACACACCCTGCTAGTGCTCTCTCTCTCAAATAAATAAGTAAAAATCTTAAAAAAAAAAAAAAAAAAAGAATGAAATCCAAACTTGCTGGCCTGCAGGGCTCTGCATGCTAGTCTCTACCAACTTTCTAACTAAATCTCACAGATTTCAGCCTCCTGGCCTTGCTGTTCCTGGAACAGGTCAAGTGTGTTTCGGATTAGCCTTCATGCTAGCTGTTCTCTCTGCTCCACTTCTCCTTTGCCCTATCATTGTTGGCTCCTTATTGTCACCCAGATTTTATCCTAAGTGTTACCTCTCAGAATAACCTTCTCAGATCACCCGATCAGAAGTAGCCTCGTAATCACTCCCTATCTTATCGGCATGTCTTAATTCTCGGGGCATTTTTGCTCGCTGAGTGATGTGGCTGTAGCACCTTGAACAGTGAGTGCCTGGCACATACTAGATGCTCAGTAAATATTTCTCGAACAAGTGAGTTTGGATGAAGGAAGGAAGGAATGACCACATACAATAAATTACTAGAAGTAAAAACTAACCTAAGTCTCAGAACTAAAATATTTCCGAAAATAAGAAAAAGCATAAAAGTCACAGCTGAAATAGCAAATATGGCCAACACCCCATTTTGAGTTTGTCGCTGGCAGGGCAGAAGTTCAAAATAAAATCCTTTCAAATTACATTATTGCTGAAATCTTTTCTGACCTCTCAGCTGAGTCACTGTTTATTTTATAAGAAACTTAACAACCTTGGAAGAAGGTTCTTTTCTCGGGCTTGCAGAAATGGAAGTAAAAGAACCGAACGCCAAACATGAGAAAGGAAAATGTTAAGCTACATGTAGTATCGCCTTAGAAGTTAATTTCACATTAGAAGTTGTTTCCTTTCTTCCTCCTTAGAAAGTCATTGGGATATGCAAGTCAGGACTCTCTCTTCCCCTGGTGACAAAATTGGACTCGCTCTTTTCATTAACTCCTAAATTTGTGGAGACTCCCTTAACACAGTCTCTGAGCTCACTTCAGCTTCTGTGTCCCAGCAAGCTCCCTTGGGCTTTCCGCAGGCCCCGCATATACTGAGCTAGTTGGATAACTTCTCAATACCATTAGGTATTTTATCTTCCTTTTTATTTTTGTCTCTGACATTTCCCTCCAGGGAACCTTGTTTAACATATCTACTTCATACATACTTTAGCCAGCTAACACGATTCAGGCTACTTACATTTCCACTTTAAAAGCCTTTGGGGGCACCAGGGTGGCTCAGTCGTTAAGCGTCTGCCTTCGGCTCAGGTCATGGTCCCAGGGTCCTGGGATCGAGCCCCGCATCGGGCTTCCTGCTCCGCGGGAAGCCTGCTTCTCCCTCTCCCACCCCCTCTGCTTGTGTTCCCTCTCTTGCTGTGTCTCTCTCTTGTCAAATAAATAAATAAAATCTTTAAAAAAATAAATAAAAAATAAATAAAAGCCTTTGCTGGGCGTCTGGGTGGCTCAGTCATTAAGCGTCTGCCTTCAGCTCAGGTCATGATCCCAGGGTCCTGGGATGGAGCCCCGCATCGCCCGGCTCTGCGGGGAGCCTGCTTCTCCTCCCTCACCCTCTGCCACCTCCCCCTGCTTGTGCTCACTCGCTCTCTCTCAAATAAATAAATAAAATCTAAAATATATATATATATATATATATTTATATCCTATAGTACTACAGAAATAGGAGTCAGCCAATTTTCCAAAAACAACTATTTCCTCTCTGCCTCACAACACACACCTTAGTAGGTACCTTCACTGCTGCTGGGAGTTTCACCTGCAGGATTATTCTGCGCCCTCATCTTTTATAATTCTCTGCATCAGACCTCGTATCTGCTCTTGTTCTTCAACACCCAGCACCCGTCTAGGGTTGCCAGTATTTGGGCTTTTGGATTTCCCTTCCTTTGCAGTTTACGACTAGAGGTTTGGATTTAAATTTGAATAACTGCATGACTCAAAAGTAACAGAAATGTGTTTCGTTCAAAAACATTTCATAATTCAAAGTTACTAATTTAGACAGATTCTTTCCTCACCCCATTTCTGAATGAGTAAGTTTTGTTGCGTTTTAGATAGCCAAATCATAGGTTGCTAGGGAAGGTCTTATTCCAGGGCTCTACTAGATAGAAAGATTGGCTTTTCTTAAGATTTGTCCTCAAATTTTTACTTGGTTTGTGGTTTGATAGATTCCGACAGCCCCATATGAAAAATAGATCTAAAAGTTTCTTAACCTTAATTCCAAAACATTCATTCCAGTTTCAAGTTAGACTTTTTAAAAAAGAACGTGATCAGGGGTGATAATAGAGTAGGTCGTTCTTTTCGTTCAGCTCATTCATAATTGCTTCTCCCTGCCTCAACTTTGTAGTTAGTGTTGTTCACAAGAATTTTAACAACCCTTTATTTTTAAAGGAATTTCACTCCCCCAGCTAATAAACAGGTAGTTAAAAAGTGCATGTGCACAAGGAGGACCTACCATAAGACCAAAGACACTGCAGCCCGGGGCCCCTCACTTCACAGCCTCTTCCAAGACCCACATAGTCACATCTAATTTTGTATTCATAATTTGCATTTTTTTTTTCTTAAACAGGGCCCTCAAAAGCTTAGGCTCCACAAAATGTGGATCTGCCCCGGCTTACATAGGCACTCACGGATGTGCTGAGGACCAGCTTCCAACGTACAGTGGTCTTTTCTCCCTTCCACTCACATGTCCCATAGGCACCTCACAGTCAGTATGCACAACCTGAACTTAGTGTGGCCCCTGAACCCCCACCAGACTCCGGCCTCCCAAACCTGCTCTTTCTCCTCCTCATCTTACTTCAGTGGCTGTCCCCATTGTATATGGGGTTAGTTCTCTAGGCTCGAGAAAGATCCCAATTTTCTCTTTCTCCTCAACCGTCTTTTCCAATCCAGCTCCGAGTCTTTTCATTCCATCTCTTGCACGCCATTCAGCTCCATAGTTTTCCATCCAATTTCTTCAGCAAACTCCCTTTGGTCTTCCTCATTCAGCAGCCCCCCTTCCAATCTCTATATTTTGCCAGAGTCCTCTTTTAAAAATTGGGTAACTTTTCCCCCCTGCCCTATTGTTTTAAATGTACCCCACTGCCTTCAGCATAAAATCCAAATTCTTTATGAAGATGGACGAGGCCCTTCCTGACTGCTCTCTACCCTGCACTCTGGACTCATCTCTCAATCCCCAACCCAGAACCCATCCTCTTCAGACCCCACCAGTGAGTATACTGGCCTCTGCATGTGATTATCCTCTGACTCCCACATACTCCTCTTTGCCCAGATCATTCCTTGAGGATTCTGCTTTGGTATTATCTCTTTCAGGAATATTTTATAAATGACATCCTCCAATATATGTGATTTTCCTTTGTGCTTGCCAACAATGATAAATATTTGCAGTGGTCTGTTTTCTTGCCTGCCTCCTGAAGGAAAGAGGCTAGGGACTCCTTGTCGCCTATATCCTCAGTTCTTTCCTAATACAGTGCCTGGTGCCTAGTAGATGGTCAAAAAAGAGTTGAATAGATAACATCTGAAGTGGTGGGGAAGGGAGTGGTGTGGAAAAGCCAGAATGTCTCACCTGCCCACATATCTCTTCCTCCTCCCCTTGCAAAGGCTGTATTAGACTGTAGATTAAATCACATCCTATGACCCACGGATCAAAGTGTGTTGTGCTTTACACCATTATCCATGATCTAATCCCCCCCACACACAATGAATTCAGCATTGGCCTCATTCACAAGTTATCAAATTGAGCACTGAATACTTTTTGATCATCTGCTAGGAATCAATATTAAGCTAGACACTGTATAGCTTAATATTAATTAATATTAATATTAATATTGTTCCATAGGAAGGATAATGGGCAGAGACCATTCCTGGAAACCAAAATATTGTAACTTAGTTAAGGAGGTGAAACCAGTAGAGTCTCAGCTAAGGCAGTAGAGAAGAAAATGGGACTAGAAAATATTAAAAATCCAGGAGAAAGAAATGCTCTCCAGGGCTAAGTTTATGCAGGACTTCACAGATGAGGATTTGCATTGTCTTTTAAGGTATAAGGATGTTGGGCTAAATCTTCAGTGGTAATTAGAATGTAGGAATACAAGGAAAGATAAAGGGATAAGTGCCAGTGAGGTAGGAGGGATTCCAGGAAAGCAAATTGTTTCATGGGAGCTAAAAGAGAATTTCAAGAAAGAGTAGGGGTGGTAGATTAAATGTGACTAAAAAAAAAAAATTTGTGTCCTTCATCCCATCAAGAGAGTAAGTCAATTTCTACACCCCTTGATACTGGGCTGGCCTCGGGACTTGTAGGGTATCGGAAAGTAATGGATGCACTGCAGTGTGACTTCTAGAACATACACTTCACAGGGCCTTATAGCTCCTGCTTCCACAGCCTTGGAATGTTGCCTAGAGTCTGCCATGTGAGGAAGCCATGTTAGGCTGCTGGAGGCCGAGACCCCGTGGAGAACAACAGAAGTGCCCCACCGAGTCAGCACCCACTCTCATCCACGCGGGTGAGGCTCTCTTACACCATCCAGACTGACTGACCCTCTTGCTGATTTAGACCCATGAAGGCGCCCAGGTGGAATGAGCAGGAGCACCACCCAGGCAAACCAAAGCATCCTGGGAAATGGGAAGTCATGTATTTTAAACCAGGACGTGTGGGGATGGTGTGTTACACCTAAACAGGCAACTGATGGGAAACACGCGTAGTAGGGCAGAATGAGAAATGAAGACTGGACAGCAGATTTGGAAGTCTTTAGTGTCCTGGCATCTTAGTCCTGGAAAAGGCCCTGATCTGAATCAAGTCTCCAGATGAATGCATGGAGTTACCAAGGTCTGAGGCTCTTAGTTATTTGAATCATGTATCAGTAATTAATAGTCTTGTTCAGATTCTGTGCTTTCTGAGAAACCAAGTCAGTTGGCTTTAACTTGCATAGAGCCAGGCAATGTGCTGATCAGGCCAAGGGTCCAGTCACCTTCCTGACAATTATACTTCCTCATAAATGAATGACTTTCATTTTCATTGTATTTTTAAAAAACAGGGCCTTATCTATATTAAAAATTAACCCTACAACTTGATATTTAACTCACAGTTTGAATTAAGAGAAAAGTCTTTCTGCTTGCTAAAGTGAAATATTTAAAAAATGCAAACCACTTCTAAGTGTATAAAATACAAAGTGGAAGTTTTCCAAATCCTAGTATAAATAAATATGTCCACATATAGCGACCATCAAATCACCTCACAGGTTTATTCTTCCTTCAGATAAACGCCGAAGAATCACTGTGCCCATAGTTCCTGCAGCAATCATTTCTCTCTGGCCCATTGAAAGTGTTTTTAGAAGAAATTCACAAACTGTAAATAAGGAGCACCCTCCCATTAAAATGCAAGAACAAGTATCCCTACATGTTCAAGTATAATGAATTAATCTTAGGAAGAAGAACAAATTCCGCTTCATTCCGGGCCCCTGCGCATCACCTCCTTCCCCACAATTCATCAGCACGTAAAGCTCTGAGTTCTGTTACCAAAAGGAAAGAGTTTTCTACAGCCCACATCAAAATTAAGCTGCTTAAACAATCTCTCTCCGTGAAATGTATTTAACCAACTTTCTAGCTGCTATCCACAGGAGAAACTCTTTATCTTTCTGAAACTCATTTTGATTGTGCCATATTTGGAATAATTGCAGTCATTTAAACGCAAGGGTGTTCCTGATCATCTGAGACTTCATAGGTGGTTAGGGCTTAAGGACGACCTACACGGTGAGAGAGGAAGGAGGCCCATGGTTCTGGCGCAGGCTGAGCATGACATTCCAAGACTTACCTGAAACCCCAAAAAAAAGCCCTCCTGCGCAGGGGACCCAGAGAGATGAGAGGGGTTCTTTGAACATTACTGAAAAAAGCTTTGCAAGATTCACCTGTTAGAAAGCACTGGTTGTTCTAATTCCTTAGCTTAGTCACCAAGGTTCATCACATGGCATAAAAACTGAAATTATGTTTTGAGATACAGTTTCACGCCAAAGGGAATATCCTGAAATAATTTCAGATATTGGATCATTATTCGGTTGAATTATAAAACTGCAGTTTTTTGACCAGAGCATTGTTGGGACAGCGTGCACATAATACTTACGCTTTTGCCAGCTCCACTGATATTTGTTCCAAAGAGCATCCCTTTGTCTCGGGTATAAACACAACAACAAAAACCAGGGATGCTAGGCTCATGATTGTATATATAAAGCACACCCACGGCAAGCCAATGAGATCTACAAAGGACAAAAGAGACCGATTAAAAATGTGTTTTGTGTTGCTTTGACCCCATTGTGTGGACAGCTGATTCTTGGGGCATATATAAAAACGTGTGTATTTTCAAACATGCTGGTAGGATCCTGGGAAATGGCAACCACAAATTAAAAATATAGCCAACCTCTGTAAGTTTCCTTTTTACAGACTACCTCAGCTTTCTCTGTGAAAGCCTTGTGACTATCACAATGTAAACCCAATGCCATCTTCTTCATGAGCATGCTTTCTTTTTTCGAAAGGGTAATATACATCCTCATTGCAAAATAAAGTAAAATAAAATAAAATAAAATAAAAATAAAAGGACCTCAAATGACACAGAAGCATAGAAAGCAGAAGGTAAAATATTTCCTCTGGTTCCTCATCCTCACAGGGCCCCCCTCGGGAGTCATGGCTGTAGCACTTTGGTTTCTATTTGGTGGACATTTTTAAAGTCACTGACACAGATGCACTTTTCTTGAAATGAGCTCACCCTTCTTTACCCTGATTATTCAAATAAATCATTTCATGTCGGCCATATTTCCTTTTAGTAGTGGGCAGCGTGTTTGTAATGCTTCCTCCTGGATTCGGAGGAAAAAAGTGCTAACAGTTCTCTGGCAAGGCCTTCGCTTGCTAAGAGTCATCATCAAGAAGCCACACCCTCAGGCACGGCTGGATCTCGCCGGCCAGCGTAGGGCCACTTCTAGCCAAAGGGACAGTCCTTTCGCAGTTCCTGACCCAGGTCAAGGCACATGAAGTGGCAAGAGATGGCCCCCAATGCACTGGAGCCTGCGATGTGCATTGTGCTGCCCGCGGCTCAGGAGCAGGAAGTCCAGCCCTGGGGGGTTCAGCTGGGGAGCAGGAAGTCCAGCCCTGGGGGGTTCAGCTGGGGAGCAGGAAGTCCAGCCCGGCGGGGAGCAGCGGGGAAGAAGCTGGCTCTTCACAAACGCAGGCTCAGACTGACCGCAGCCAGAAACCATGCACACAGCCCTTCACGGCTGCAGCCACCAGTCCCCACTGGTCAGTCAGGAGAACTGACCGAGCGGTTCCGTAGTGAGGCAGTGTGGTGGATGCAGCGTGGAAAGATCTAAGCATATTAACCACCTTCTCGCCGCAGCCAAACACCCTGCACTCTTGCAACCGTTCCGCGCAGACCACAGGTCCCATGCCCATCCGGGTGCCCTCCCACGATGGACACACAGCAGCGCTCTGAAAAGATCCAAACAATCCTCTTAACATACTTTACTCAGAGCTGAGCGTAATGCAGCCGCATCGTGACCACTGCCCAGTGAGCTGGTTTCCCCAGAACACTCTGCTTTTATTGATCTGCTGAAGTTGCACTGAAAAAGGCTGGTGTCCAAGGGCTTGCTGCCAAGCAGAACCGTTACGTCTTCTACTTGGAAAATTGATTTTTGGAAGTAAGTACAGATTTTGAAAGTAAGTACTTCCCTGCGTTGGGCAAGTTTGCGTTATGCCACTTGGCTTTTCTGAAATCCAAAGAGGATTTTTGCCCTCAGGAAGTGTAGCTGCTTTTCTCCTTCATGCCATCTTGGCTCATGAAAGGTTTCTTAGAGACGTTCTAGTTTCAAATAGTGGGAGAAACCTGTACCGAATTTCAAGCTTAGCCCAATGGAATGTCATCTACAGGTTCATTCCAGGATTTTTAAGTGAAAATGCTTTCCCAGCATTTGTTCTAAGTGCAGGAGAACTTCTGAATGTGCATTAGCTCATCCTATACGTTAGCCATCCTTCCCAGAGATTTGTGTCCTCTTTTCCCACCCCTGATCATTTCCACTCTTTCTTCTGCTTTTTAATTAAAAAAAAAAATGTTAAGTATAGTTGACACACAATGTTACATTCGTTTCAGGTATACGACATAGTGATTGATCAAGTTTATACATTATGCTGTGCTCACCCCATTGTTTTCTTTTATATTTCTCTTTTCCACATCAAAGAGCAGATAAAGGGGTGTGTGTGTGTGTGTGTGTGTGTGTGTGTGTGTGTGTGAAGGTAAAAGTCACAGGTCTATGCATGTGATCTAAGTAGGATAGGTATGGTTGGTGCTAATGACCAGTGCCTTTGTTTTTTTCAGTCTTGGTCCGTTTCTAAAAATATGGGATATAAACATTTAAAATGTTATGTAAAAACCCAAACCATGCTTAATTAATAACTCCAAAAGTTAATTTCCAGAAGTAGATGTACTCAAAAAAAAAAAAGTGGTTGATAAGACTCAGAAGTGCTATAGATATATACCTTTTTGAGTATATGTCCACTTTTCCAAATTTATATATTGTATGTATTATTTAATATTTATATCATATACATGTATGAAGGAAAGAGCAAAGAAAGGAAAGAGCTCATTGGTCAATTTTGGAGGGTGCTGGGGAACTACCTCATTACTTGGGAAACTAGAAAATAAAGAGAAAGTTTCAAGCATTTCTCTTGCCTTTTTTCTTTGATTCATACTTCAGGGCAGGCAAATAACTAAGGAAAAGAAATTTCTCCTTAGAGAAGTAGAAACTATGATCCAAATTTAGAAGGAATGATGGAATGCAAATAACGGATCTGGGCGATGATCCTCACAGAAGCCTACATGACAAAGTGGGAGACAGACAGGATGCACATTTGTGGCAGGACGTACGCCATCATCTGTGAAGGAGTTTACAAACAAACAAATGAAAAAATCTAAATCTGCTCAAGCCTCTAGACCTAAATAGCAGTTCACTGGAAACACAAAGGACAGAAGGTCATGTGATAGGACTATAATCAGCAAAACCCAGCATGGGAAAAACCCTATGAAACAGAGAACCCCATTTCTTCATTAAAAATATAAAGATGGGGAGGAAGAGGGAGAAATGAAGATGCAACCTACAAATTATAAGAGACATGTCAATCAACTGTGAGTTATGTTTTTGGATTGTGATTCAAGCAAAGTATAAAAAAGTAATTATCAGACAATTGGAAGAATGGGAAGACAGACTGGATATTTGATACCAAGGGATTACTATTAACATTTTTAGGCTTGATCATGATATTGCAGGTAGAGTTTTTAAATGTCTTATCTTTTAGAGGTCCATGTGGAAATTTTATAGACAAAATGACATCACGTTTGGGATGTGACTCAAAATCATTTGGGGAAAGAGCAGGTGGGGTTAAAAAGGAATTAAGAATGATTAAATTGGGTGGTCGGTACATCAGGTACCTTCTTTTTACTTTTGAATGTTTTGAACACGTTCACAGTAAAATGATCTTTAGGTGAGTGTGCTTCCCTCACATTTGTCCTAAGAGCACAAAAGGTGTTAGAGGAAAACAATGAGTCCTTACCAGTCACAGTCAAAAATGTCAGAGAGATGAGGAGATTGATGCCCCAGTTCATGCTAGAAGTTAAAGCCATGGCTCGTCCTCTAATTCCACCAGGAAAAATCTCGCTCAGTAGCAGCCAGGGCACTAGAAGAAAGGGAAGGGGAGGCAGCAAAATTATCAAAAACCCATTGAAACTGAGGGCCAGCCCTCTGCCCTCTGCCTTCTGCACCCTGCCCCCTGCCCCAGGCCTGCGTGGTTTGTGGTTGGAGAGCAGGGCTGTGTCCTTCCTCAGCAGGAGGGGAGAGAAATGCGCTTCCTTCTCATCACCAGCCAAGTGAGAAAGGATTCAGGAGAAATACTGACAGAGCCTGACAATAATCCTGGAAGGAGGGGTGTATGACACAGGCCTGAGAATGCAAGTGGGACGGGCGGTGGCTGGATCACCTGCCAGGGAGCAATGAGAGAGGCAGCTTTGGACCTCTGCCAAGCACAGAGCCTCAGCACTAGACCCAGGCTCTCCCTGCTGTGGGTCCTGGCCCTTCCCTTGGAGAAGTCCGACATCACAGCTAATGAGTGGGTAGGAAATGGAGCCAGGAAGATAGGGGAAAGGAGGCCGCTACTCTCCCTGCTCCCACCCGGTCTTCCTGACCGGGGGCAAGCTGAGTGGACAGCAGCTCTGAATTAAACCAAGCCCCAAAATTTGATTATTATACTTGAAGAAATGTGTGAATTTCTGAAAGAAGACTCTTGTTGGCACCAAAACTGATCAGAGCACTCTTTATTATCTGAGAGTGACAGGGAACATTACAGGGCCTGCCTGATGGGATTAGAACTCACTTGTCTTCTGCTTACTGCCCATCCAGCCCAGCGTGCCCAGTAAAATAGCTATGCATTCTCACAAGGGGCGGAGCACCTTATGAACCTTACCTCCAATGATCCTCCCCAAATCTTCCAAGACAGGAACTTACTACTATCCCTCTTTACGTAGAAGAGACTCAGGCTTCAGGAGTTAATCATCTGCCAAGGTCACAGAGCTCAGAAGTGGCGGAGGGGGCACTGAGTTCTAGTAGTGGGTCCGTGAAACTCATGCTTGTTAATCATGGTGCTCTCTTGGTAGTGGCTCAATAAATATTTGTTAATGAATAAGTAAATGTGGAGCATAAGCGTTTGATTCTGAACAAAGAAGGACGTAGGAGCTGCCCCAGCCCTGGCTCACTGCTGGTGAAGTCACCTTGTGCTGGAAAGAGAACATTTACCTACAGACCAGCTGCAGGGTCCTAGCCCAGCAGAGGCAGTGGGGACAGGGCCCCAATGCCAGCCACCACTCGCATGGCCTATGTGGGAATCAGGAGAGTCAGCTGTGCCTCTAATTTAACAACTCGCCTCCCCTGACAAGATCAGGGTCTGGACGGAAAACATCTGCTCGTAGTAAATCTGCTATTTTAAAGTAAGAAAAATAAATTGAATTATAGCAGAGGGCTGGAGAAACACTTTTTTCTTGATTATCTTTTTCCAAGTGAATCCATGTAGGGTTATCGTTAGGGCATGGAAGATAATTGTAACAAAGGAACATGTTTGTTATTGTTCTAATTGATAGGGAATTCAAAATTAAAATTCTGTATCCCTCCCCTCCACCTCCTACCCCCCCCCAAAAAAAACTGTATTAGATTCTTGCAGATTATATCCTTGGTAGGATCACTTTGCTCTTAATGAGCCCCGTGCAGTGCTCAGGTAACCTTGTATTTGAGTGTTGTGAGACTGGGGATCTGGCTCTGAGTAGAATGACAGCTGTATAGTTCTGGTGAAGTCTTTGTAATGACCTGCCCTTGGACAAATACAAGATAAAATTATGAAGTTAAATAATCTATGCCACAGACTAATCCCCTGTGCCCCTTTCTGCCATTGGTATCTATCACAGTGGTGTGGGGGATCTCTCATCATCTTTTGCTCTAGCAGCCATGAGGAGGAGGTGGGGGAAGGGTCACTCTTTCTTTTCTAGATGAGTTCACAGAGGTTTTCTTAATCTACTTCCATCCCACTTCATCACCTCTGAAACACCTTCCTCCCTTCCCCACCTTTCACCACAACCACCTCTTGGAATTACTTGGTGGGATCTTGGAAAATCATTGCTGGGGTCATCAGACACATGTCGGTGTCAGATGAGAATGTGCTGATCTTGCTGTTACCGAAAGTGGTGGATATCACCCACAAGGAGACAGGACTGTTTCACAAAGCACTAGTTATACAAGCACTCAGTCTGAGCTGTCAAAGGCTTGCCTAAAAGGACCCATAGTCCTCACTGAAAGCCTGCCCTAGACAAGCATTCAGTTCAGCACCGAGCTAGGTTCGTGGGCAGCTGAACCAATCAGTGAGCAATGAACTGAACATTGAAAGAGAGACTTCCCGGGGTGCCTGGGTGGCTCAGACGGTTAAGCATCTGCCTTCAGCTTGAGTCGTGATCGCAGGGTCCTGGGATTGAGCCCCGCATCGGGCTCCCTGCTGAGCAGGGAGTCTGCTTCTCCCTCTCCCTCTGCCTGTTGCTTCCCCGGCTTGTACACTCTCTCTCTCTCAAAAATAAATAAAATCTTAAAAAAAAAACAAAAAAGAAAGAGAGACTTCCCTCCATCTCTGATGAGAACTTGTCAGTCAAATCTTGCACCTTATGTTTCCAAAAATAATGTAGTGTTGCAGAAAGCTTCTACTTCTTTCTTGATCTGATAGAAAGAATTCAAGAATTGATGCTTTGATTTATCTAATATTGACCAATTGGATGTTGTAGCATTTAACAAGGGTTTTGACAAGGATGGTCCAGCCTCCCAATAAGGAGCCCGTCAAGTCGAAAATAAGGAGAATATTATTTTAACAATGATTTCAGCACCCTAAAATCACAGATTTTCAAATCCAGAAAGTGAAATCAAGTTCTGAAGATGGTCCTTGCTGCAAGATAAAACTGACTGAAAGGATCAGAGTCTTCCCAGGGCCATCTTAGGAGCAAGATGATGCCAGAATCTGACAGGCCTCCGTGGTCCCTGGAAAGGGGCTAGGAAGGTCCAAAGCAGAAAAAATGGAGCAGCTCTGTTTCAGCTCTTAAGTCAAGAGCACAGAGATGGAAACCATCACATGGGGATTTCATATGTTGACATTTACGGTGACAAGTGGAAGTCCTCTGCAAATCACTGATGACTTTTCTAATGAGATGGCCTCATTTCTCCAAAAGTCAACCTGTCACCACCCACCACAGTGAAGAAGTGGAGCCTCTTGGGGTGTGCTTGTTCTCCACTGCCCTGATGATAGACTTGTGCTTTTGCTTATGAGGAATCCAGTGGGTATTCAGAGACGTAGTGAACTCTTCTCCAAACAATCCTCCTTGACCTCCACCCTTCCACTTTGGCCTCGCCATTCCAGGACGAGCTCAGCAATACGCGCCTCTGGAAATGTCCGAGTCTGTGCATGTCTTTAAGGCCTCCCCTGTGCTGCAAGGATAGAGGAAATTTTGGACTTGCCAGGACATAAGTTACCCATAAGTATTGGCACCTGTACTTCACATGGTATTAAATCACCAAGGCTGCCCGTCAGAACTTGCCTGATCCAGATGAAATCCGCAGACAATGTTTATGGTTGCACTGAGTGTCATGAAAAGACATGAAGGACAAATATGTTAAGGTGTCTCCGTGTGCCGTGGAGGACATGGGCTTGGTTAGCAGGGGCAATCCGTGCAGATGACTTCGCCCTCCCATGGGTAGGCCCTGCCATGTTAATCCTCGCCCCCTCCATATAAGCCACTGAGGCTGTCACTTAAGCCCTTGCCTTGCCTTGACTTGAACTCTTCTTCACCCTCCTGGCATGCCAGCTCCAGGCTTGCAAGATTCACGGATTCACAGAGGTCTTAAACTCTTGCCAGAGAATTCCCAGCAACTCTGGAGGCAGAATTCTCAACAGCTTGATTTGCCGACTAGTCGGTGTTCCCTACTTTGCCAAAGTGAAGCCAAATCCCATGGCTTTTATTGCCTATGCAAACAGCACACGGCACACCTAGCTCTCTGTCTGCCAAGAGATTCTTTAAATGTGAATATGAAAGGGAAATACGCCCATTTCCTTCCAACCAGATGTTTAAATCCTGGCTCCATTAAGTTCCCTAACTGGAAAAGGTATGCTCTTTAAAAAAACACACTCCACCATGGGCCACCTTCTCCAACATCAGCAATGATGCAATAGCTTTTATTTGTTTTTATTTTTATTTCTCATATTCCCCTTTCTCAGTTTCTCTGAGTTTTTTTCATGCCTCACCTCTTCTAAGTAAATATTTTATTCTAGAATATTATCTTGTATTACTTACATAAACCAAGAAAAGCAGTGAAATAAAGCCTCAATTTTCCCCAGTCTTTCTATCTTAATGATTTCTAGTCAACACTAACTGAAATAATTTTTTGAAAACATTTTAGGGAAAATTGAACACAATGGAAAAACCATCAATTTAAAAAAATGCAAGAATTGATAATGAAACTCTTGTGAGCAAGTACTGGTTGGGAATAAGAAAAAGTTACTGGCGGTGGTCTTTAAACTTTCTTGCCTGTGTAACCTTTAAAATAATTTGAAAAACTAAGTACTTTCTTTCATTTGTAAGTCAACATCAAACTTTCTTCTCGCTGTAACTTTAAATGATAGCAAAGAATGCAATTTCTATTGTATTATAAACTCTAACATATAAAAGAGAGCACTTCTCATGCCTTTACATATTTCCAGTAGAATTGAAATACCATACCTATCTGATATTCATCATCATCCATTTAAAAAATACAGAAATAAGATACTTAAAGTAAATTTTATATTGTTTTTCACCTTGAACTCAGTATTTTATCCTTTTTCAATGCACTTTTAAACTTAAAAGTCTTTTGATCACTCCATCATAAGTGCTCTGGGAAAAATTACCATAAACTGAAATTTTAGGGTTGTTTTATTTCCCCTAAGAATTTTTAGGTATTTTTTTCTCAGCTGTTAACACAGTAATTAATAAAAAATGGATCAAAATTATAGAAATATATTACAAATCTTTAGAATTAACTATTAGATATGAAAAGTGAAATTTATTGAAAGAAACCTCTCTTAACAGACAGGGAGTTTTTTCTTTATTATGTATGTGTGGG